GAGCATGTCATCGACACTCGGTATAGGAAATCGGTCCTTGATGGTTGCAGCGTTCAGAGATCGGTAGTCAGTACAGAACCTCCACGTGCCGTCTTTCTTTTTGGCTAACAAGACTGGAGAAGAAAACGGACTCTTGCTATGCTGGATTAGTCCTGATTCAAGCATCTCGGCCACTTGCCGTTCGATCTCGGTTTTCTGAAAGTGAGCGTACCTATAAGGGTGGACATGTATGGCATGCTTCTCATTGATCAGTGGTATGCGATGATCGAACTCTCGGTGTGGTGGAAGTCCTTTAGGCTCGCCCAATACTCCTTCGAATTCCTCGAGAAGCTTACGCATATCACCTTGTTGTTGTTCATCTCGGTCTATGTGCGCCTTGGTGTTCTCGACTACTACTGCAAAAATTTGGCCGCCACCTCGCCAAACCTTTCGATACTTTTCAGCCCTACTTCCTTAATATCCTTTTCGGTGCCCGTACTCAGAGTGACTTGTCGACCTCCAGAGTTGAACTCCATAATTCCTGTTCGATAGTCAGTAGTTACCCTGCCTAGCCCCTCAAGCCATTGCACCCCTAGAACGACGTCCGGTCCAACCAAGGGTAAGGCGTAGAGATCGGCCTTTACAGTGACTCCGTTAAATTTGATTGGCACCTCTGGAATGACTCAGTACATTGTAACCTTTCTCCATTGGCTACTCGGACTTCAAAGGGCTCGATTTATGTGGTTGGCAACTTCAACTTTTCAGACAACTCAGCATTGATCAAGTTATGAGACGAACCGTTGTCTACGAGTACAATTACTGTTCGATCCTTGACCCATGCTGGTAGACGCATCGTCCTTGGTCCTCTGATTCTAGCCATTGCATGCATCGAGATTTCAGGCTCCTCATGACGTACTTCACTCACCTCTTCCTGATGTGGTTCCTCCTCGACCTCAGCTACCTCATCGTCGGGGTTGGCCACCTCGATTACAAAGGCCTGCTTACATTGATGACCGGGGGTAAACTTCTCCTCACACTTGAAGCAGAGACCTTTCTCACGTCGACGTTTAACTTCCTCGGGGGACAGCCGCCTCACTATCAACCCTGCTGGACGAATGCTGACGTTTGGCCGTGCACTGACCGTGGCTTGGTTCGATCCCGTGCGTCGCGTGTCCGGAAATCGCACATCCGCCCATCCCCTTCGCGTAGCGACCAGGTGATCTTCGCGTCGCCGGGCAACCTCCATCGCATCGTGCATGGTATCCAGCCTTTCGAGTCGGACCTCCACAGTTAGGTCAAATTTTAACCCTCCTACAAACGCTCCGACCAATGCATGTTCGGGCCAATCACGTACGTGGCAGGCCAACCGCTCAAACTCCCTGATGTACTCGCGTAGGCTACCTGTCTGCCGTATGCGCGTGAGAGCCTCATTGTAGTTGTGGTAATCAGACATACCAAACCGTGTAAGCAACTCTCTTTCAAAAACTTCCCAAGTGATGATTTGCTGTCGCTTTCGATAAATCCTTGTGAGCCATTGCCACCATACATTGGCCTCACCATCGAGATAATAAGCAGCATACCTGACGCAATCTGTACCGTTGGTTTCATTGAGCTCAAATTATTGCATTGCCTTATTGAGCCATGCGTCTGGATCACTGCCCGTGAACGTAGACAACGTGATGCGCGGTTTATCGGGAGCACGCCGATCGCGGTATGTGGACGACGGGGACTGCCGATCAAGGTAATCCTTGCGCTCATACTTCTCTCGCCGCCGATCCTCTCCTTCAGGCCGCTCGCGGTCGTGCTGTCGCGCCTGATCGCGTTTCCGCGGCGGTGGCAGGTGAGCGAGAACCGTGCGCACCATCTCATCAAATCGTTGGTTCATGGTTTCCATTAGATCTTGCACCGTTGACTTGGTATTGTCGAGTCCTTCACCCAACGTATCAATTGCTTCGCTCATGCGACGGAATTGGACATCGAGATTATCGATTTTGTCTTTCATCTCCTTGTTGGCCATGGCTTTTCTTTCTTCTCTCCGCTCTTTGCTTTGTGAACTCGTGGTTGAGATGATGAGGATGAAGATGGACGAAAATATTTATGTATGTATATATATATATATATATATATATTTT